TATATATATATATATATATATATATATATATATATCAGGGAGGCAATATATTGACGACTTTTCTTGTTCTAGGCTTTGACATCCAGTCCACAGCCCGCTAAAGCTGTGCTGCGGATTTGCCGCGTCGCCACAGCCGAGTGCATTAACCGTCGTATTCCGCGAGTTTGCGTTTTATCACATGTGCATTCGCTGAAAATGAGACACATTGCCTGTTGCATACGACAAAAGATGCATCGTTGAAAAATCATTTTCCCCTTCAGGGGACTGCGCAGACGGCGGTGGAAACGCGCTGGTCACTAGCACGAAAAGGACCTAATAGCACTTTTGCGAACACACACAAAACACATTTCATCAAAGCTCTGCACGTTAAGAACACAAAAATAACCCAAACCCGTAAAATTTGTGCATGCCTGAACACTTGTTATTTGGCCCTTTTTTCCCAGTGGGTGGGTGCGAACAACCGACGCTGGGGTCTCCATCTTTGGGGCAATTGGCCATAAGGAGCCAGGTGGCAGGTGCGTCTTTTAGTGCGTTCACATGTGAAGCCATTTTGCAATTGTGTCATGCTGATGAGTCGTCAAAGATACCGCCCCGTTTCCTGCTGCGGCCTCGGGTGACTTGAATGTGACTCCAGTCGCGTCTGACTATTTTTGCCAACGATGTTCTGCTTAGAAGGCATAGCGGGGTAGCTACATAGCGGCCACCCATAATTTGGCCAAAAGCAGGGCGCTTTGGGGAGCCGGGCGCTAAAACTTAACCTAGCGCAATGCATTCAGTCATAATTATACCATCAAGTAGACTTCCGATCACTTTCCCGTGCAATTAGACACCCGTTGGCCGTGATATGGACTGCTAAAGTACCACGTTCACCCGCTGCACTGGCGTACCCTGTGCCATAATCGCACACCATTGGAGCCCCGTGTGAAAAGGTACTTTGGATTGATAAATTCAATGATACTTGCACAAGATTTGCAAGCCATTTGCAACAGTACAAGAAAACGGGGGTGGGCATCCAATGCTACCTCCAACGTCGTGTCTGTAATACGATTGTGCAATTCATCAAGTCATGAGTTGAACCGTACTGTGCGCATCATAAATACTGAATGCGTTCCGTAAAAATGCCGCATACATAAAGATGCCTTAGCGTATTAGCTGTGTGGCGACGTTTGGCGGCGGCACGAAGTTGCAGTGTGGCGGCATGGCGGTTTGGTGGTGTGCTGGGGCGGCCGCCGTGATGGTCCGTAAGATCCTATTCTTGATTATGCCATCGCCGGGTTCCAATTTTCTACACTTGACAGAATGTTTTAAAATCCCAAATCATGAGATAAATTTCTAGGCGTGCTGCAAGCGTGAAATGTAACTACACACTACACTACAAGAATTGCTGTTTGGCACCACCACTGATCTGATGGCAGCCAAAGCAGCTTATTCAGCATTTAGATCAGCCATACAACTCTGTGGACGACCAACGAATGTTGCAGGTCTGATGAGCACTCTTTGGCGTGAATTTTGTGTCCAGTACACTGGCTTTGAGGTCCCATTGCTCAACAGAGCTTCACAATGCACAACAGAAATGGCACCAAGCCAGAAAAGCTGCTTGCACCAATCCCTCCCCAAACCAACGTAAACTAGCACCTAAACCCTGCACCCTGAAACCTGACCCCCTATCCACTAAGTACTATCCCCTAATCCTAACTCTAACCCTAACCTAAACCTGAACTATATACTCTGACCCTAAGCCCAGCCCTACAACTGAGGTGATGACCACGTGTGTGCGTGATTTGGTGCAAGCAGGCACTGATTTGTTGCAGACAGTAATATCATTTTGCTATGTCCTGATGACAAGCCTGGCCGGGTTGGCACCTTGGGGGTAAATGCTGGGGTATGCATCTGTGGTACCATTGCCACATCACCCTTTTGGGCGGGATCAGTGGAAAAACCCTTTTTGGCTGATTTGGTGGACAGTGAGTCAGTTCTGCGCATCAAACTTCCACCCGCTGCTGAATAGAGCTATTCCACAGTGAACCGGGACGACATGTTTCTCTATCTAAATTGCAGTCTATGTGTTTGCTTACATTGCCCATCTGTCACCCTCGTCTGATTGCAACGTATGCCGGCTCTACCGCCCATACTTATAGCACAGCGCGTTTGAGAATGACAGTTTGTACACCAACACACGCTGAACTGCCTTAAAAGCGGATAAACACAGGCAGCCAACTGGTATTTCTTAAGTGCCGCGCAAGCGAGCACATCACCAGAGCCATAGCTCGTGAATTCAGCAATAAAAAACTTCAGTTAAAGCCGGGCGACAATGGAAATGGGCTGAAGGACAACCTACGCTCGATAATACTCGAACCGAAGTTAAATTTGCTTGCGCATTAGATTTCCTGCCTAGTGGCGTTGCCCTTCACAGACTACTGTTTGGCACTTCAAGGAACCTTGGCACATGCTGGCTAAAGCAGGGACAATTTTTAGCGATGGCGAAGTGATGTACAATTTACAGAATCGCCGCTATCGAATCTGTCCACGACAGATTGTGACATCTATATTGATACTTTGTTCAAGATTTCAGCGCGCATCAGTCAACCTTTATTATTATGGCTGTCGGTAAATTTCCGAATGCACACCGTCAGAACAATGCGCGTACATATTGCACACAACATCCCATTTTGCACTGATTGGATCACAAAGGCTGTTTCACCCACGAGGCTGCTCAATGCAGAGAATAAGTTCCCCTGCGCCATTTTTGTGAGGCTTGGCCTCGTTTGATCAAGATGGGCTACATGATACATAAGACCGCTTTCGCCAAGCCCAAGTGCGATGAATATTGGAAACAAATTTGGAATCCTATTTCGACCTCGTACAAATCCGCTATCTCCAGGCGGTGTGAAATGCCTTCCCTGCTCATCTTATACAATGTCACTCGAGGGTCCAGAAAGATATTTGAAACTTCTCAAACTTGTTCAACGCTTGCTATCGATACTGCGATACAAATGCCTCCAACATAGAAACTACGGCTCGGTCAAGATCCGAGATAAAGCCGCTCAAGCAATCCAGGGCGATTTGCTCCGAGCCGCTCCGAATCCCTCCGCAGAGCGATGTTCTGCAAAGGCAGGGGGGAAATCAAAACGTACTATCTCTGGGAGATGCAAAACATGAGATCGGAACCGCATGTGAAGGGGGCACAGGCTTCACATGTCTTCGTGAGATGGCATGGACTTGCATCTGAACTCGGGTGCCCAATGGGTATCGAGCGTCATGCTTTTGTGACGGACAGGGAGCCTGCCACACAATGCACAAAAGGACGGTCGTGTGTTAGGGTATTCATTTGGTAGTGTCTTATCAGAAAACTCACCAATTTCTACATAGTTGAAAACAAGTTACCCCGAGAGGAGAATCCAGCAAAAAATGTGGCCAAAATCTCAGCGAATAAACAAATTCCACGGCTGTTGAGCCAAACGGCTATCGAAAGCGAAATCAGCAAAGTGTTTTGTGGTGGGGCGCCTACTGAGATTCCCACCACTTTGCAACAAATCCATTTTCCAATTTTTCAGTTCCACTCACATTTTGCAGTTTTTAATTCTTTCATTTCCTAATCAAAAGCCCTTTCAGGACAAATTCGCACAAGAAAGTACTGCACAGAACTGAACCTTGTATCATTTTTTCCGAAACAGTGTTGTAATTGATTTTTCAGCTATACCATTTTGATTTAAATCAAAACAACCACCGTGTGAATCTGAATGGTGAATCGCAGTGCAGCAATAAAAGTGAGCAGCCCTGTCGGAAACGCCGTACGTGGCATTGACGCACAAACCTGTCATGCCCGTGGAAGCAAGGTATTCGCCAGTGAGCCTGGCTGGAGTCTTCCCCTCGTAGCGCATCAGCACTTCGACGTGGAAATGTTTGCCTGGGACAAGGTTACGATGATTAGGTACTTGTTTCTTTCTGAGAGCCTAGCCTGTACTCGTAATGCGTGCATTGATTGGACAAAGGAAGCGAAAAGCGGGCGACATGAGGACGGTATTTCAAAAGAAAAGAAAGATAGTTAGGAGGCGAAAGAGCGTCATTTAACAATTAATTTTAGTTCAAAATCTTCAGGCGCCTGCAAAATAATGTGGCAGAAAGACGCAGAGATGTGTGAATCTCGCAAAATGATACTTGGAACCAGAATGGCATCTGAAGACCCTGTTTCAACTTTTCCCCAAAACTTTTAGAAATAGGCAAAGTTAAGCAGACACTTGTCAAAATCGTGTTTGACTTCGTCTACTGCTTTAATATCTCTGAATTCTTTCGTTCAAAGGCACAATCATAAAAGTTTTGCGCGAGTGAAACAGCCACGTATCCGAAACACAACCTGCCATATATTGTTGACCCCAAAACCATTAGGAACAGCGTTATCAGAGAAAATGGCCAAATTGAATCGTTTCCCTTCCACACGCTACCAACTGGAGGTGCAAGATTTCGTACCCCAGGCATTTTTTAAGCGCAAAAGTAAACGTTCCTTGAGAACACTCAAGGCGGCAGCCCATCAGGTCAGTTGGCAATATTGCGGATGGACCAAGACAATATTTGAAACAGAGAGCGGAGTCTCTGCACATAGCGTATATCAACATATTCTTCATTCCAAAGCTGCTCTGGTACTGTAATAAATGCACTTGTAAGCGCTCGATGCGTGCTGTTCGTTTCGTAGCAGAATGCTGCCATCTCCCGTACATTTTTGGTGTGACTCCTCTGGTTGGGGGTCAACACCCCTTGCATGTAATATATGCATATTATGCCTAAAACTTTCCAGAATAGTTCAGCAACGCAGGAGCGGAACTTTCGACTTTTCGTACAACACGGAAAATATATGTTTTGCAGACGTGAACACAATATACTGTGTTGAAATGCACGTGCATGGATGCACGTAGTGGTGTGCACGTCTCCTCATGCACCTGTCATGCTAGGTGAGATACAAAACAAGCTTTCATAGAAGGCATGAGGGTTACTGTGCAGTGTTTTTAAGCTCTTTCTAACAAATGGTTACGTACATTTGATTGTCGCTGTAAATTGCGATGAATCGAAGTGCAGATACGCTCACCAGAAACGACGGCTGACTCATAAAGTGAAGGCGAATTCTCCCATTTGGTGTAGCTTGCTCCTGTCATCGTCTCACCCCATCGGTAAATCTCGGATTTCGTGTCGAACACACCTTTCACCTGACAACACAATGGCATTCGTCTCGGATTGTGATAGTTGTGTCGCTGTCCATCTCAAGTCTATATGGTCAATTGACATGATGAAACAAATTCAGTAGTATCGTATATGAAACCTGCCTACACAGCGGCACGACATTTGGCAACTTTTTCGCCGAGATCCAAGATAAAGGCCGTCGTTCTTTTTGCAAAATGTTGCGAAAAAAATGGTTTCAAAAGGGCGCTACAGGATTACAAATGCTACAGCTCCAGGGTAGCTCGGTCCAGCCACGTGCGTTCGTGAACGGGAACTCTCTTGCAGCGGCTGCCTTGCCCCGATATCGAAGGGAATGCGTTGCATCCCTTCCCTAGGCCAGAGCGTTTTCGCCCCAGCAAGTGGACACAAATAGCGCAAAATCCAGATAGCGGATACCCCTTTCTTCCGTTTGAGCTACGACAACCATCGTTCGCGTGCTGCGGCAGGCGTTTGCGTGGTGTGCTGGCATGCATTGGCATGGCGTGTTCCTTTGAGTTGGCAGTGGTATTCACATAAGGGCGTCAACGCCATTGGCGAGGCTCTCCCTTGCAGTGGTGGCATGCACTGCTATTGAGGGGGACACGCTGCACACCTCCACAAGAATAGCGATTTTGTGCCTGCGAAATTTGGGGACGGATAGTGTCGGCCAGGCCATTGTGTAGCCTTCCTTGGAACAGCGCGCTCCAGCGCCCATTGTTGGGAGTTCATGGACAGCAATGCGGCGTGATCCCTGGGGGTTCTGGATGCCTTTCAGAGGCGTTTTTAACCTTATGGCGTGTAGCGAAAAAAAACACGCTGCCTTCTCTGAGAGTTGCGCCCACCAGCGCCCGTGGCTGGCTGCTCCTTTCTTGAACTATTTATTCGACGCGACCTTGATGCTCAGGCAAAATATCAAGACCACATCCTTACTGCAATGCGCCCCCGAATATATTTCCAAAGCGTGGGGTTTCTTTCAGCAAATGCACACATGTGACATGAAATGATTAATTTTGAAATCAGTCGAAAAAGACACAATTGCCTCACAGGAACCGATCAACATGCATTGTGGATTAATGCACCAGTTTGGGAAGGGAATGGCTGCGGTTGTCAGAAGCAAACGTCACTGAATCGAGGACGGCATGCTATAAAAAGAATCTGAGAAAACAACACGTGAGCAAAGTGGGGTGCCGGACACATCAGTGACTAATACTTGGTTGTCCATGGAGGCGCTATTCCTTTCCCTACCTGGAAAGATCCATCATCATCCGAGCAGCTCCCACACACTGATCCATTTTTCCAAAATTCCAGATCGTAGTTGACCAACTTTACCTCTCCCCGCTCCTCATATTTGCCAATGTACCTGTGCCCGGTCGCGTCGACAATGGCATTCAGCTCCTATGCACCAGCTCGCTCCTCTCCCCACCCAACAACCCACACTCGCCCATGTCCATGTCACACAATAATCTGCGTTTGGACAGTAAGTAGGTCCTTGGGCCCCATTGCGAAAAAAGAGCCCAAATAATAAGTGTTCAAATGTGTACACATTTCATGGGTTTGGGCTACTTTTGTGTTTTTAGCATGCAATGCCCGCCCAGCAGGACATTGATAAATGCACTCCATATGCGTTCGCAAAAAGTGCTATTTGATCCCTTTTTTTCCTAGTGTTTGCTGATGGATCTGCCAAATGAGCTACCTGAGACTGAGTATTAATAGAAAAGGCGAATCAATTTGTTGGGCGACGCCGATCGAAATCGTGACTAGAGAAGGTGTCACGGCCATTGCATTGTCTACGGAAATGATCGAATGCAAATCTATTCCTTTCCACTGTGGGCATCTCCTGCAAACAACTTGTCCAGGCAGTTCTCCAACAAACCAGGATTGTATGGTGTTTGACTTTGCTTTGCCCATTTTGCGGATATTGCATTCCGTACTTGCAGTGGGGGATCCTTGAAAGGCTTGCCCCTCTCCTAACAACAATTTGACGCAAAGCTTGTCAAATTTTCACGGTGTGCGCTACAATGTGCGGAACTAGACAAATCGCTACGTACCTGTCACGAATGCACAAATTTCTGCATTCATCACACCATCAGATGGACGACGAGGACGTTAGCTGCAAACAAGCACGTGACAACTACCACAGCATTCCAGCGGGTGCTGCTAATCGACTCTGCGTTGCGTTATTGTAGCGGTGCATTTCAGCTCAACGAGTCATATAGAACAAGAGGGGATCAGCACATGGCACTCAAGCAAACGTACGTGCCATTGCATTGCAGGGACTCGACCCGCTCCGAATCTCACCTGCCGGATGGTGGGACTGCCTCTGGAATGCCGCCCCCCAGTTGCGGAGCCCCATTGGACAAATGCAACCTCGCCCTGATCAAGTTGGCCACATCCTTGAGACCCCCGTGCGTGACGGGAAACCTCAATGCCGCTGCGTCTCTATTTTCATAAGAAGATCCTTGATCAAAAAGAAGGCGCCTCGCGCTCTCCTGATCTTCTCTTGGATAGGAGCGTTCAGGGTCAACCCCCGTCAGCATGGCGTACTTGAAGCAGCACCAGATTGCTGCGACGAGAACAATGATGGGAATGACGATGACGAACCTGGTGGCATTGCACATACAGGCCATCTTCTCAATCTCATCCGCACTTAGGACAGCGTGGCTCCAACACCGGTCGCCCCGGATGGTACCGTGGGTGCCACGTGCGCATGCATGTGCTTCCGGCAATGTGTGCATCTGTCCCAATGCTGGGGTGGCGGATTTCGCACACATGTGTCGTTGTGCTGATGTGTTGATTACTTTGAGGATTGCATGCTGCGCAATCCACAATCGAGGATCTCGCTGGATGCTGCATCTGTGAAATCGCCAGAATAGAACTTCAAGCAACTAGTTCAGCAGATTTGAAATGGACTGGCTGTATCTGGAAGAGCGGGGCGCATCATCTTATTTCCCCTTTAACTGATTCTGGGGATTTGGCAAGGAAGGAAATTGTTGTATTTTCTTGTGCTGTACATTGGCAGACTGATCTACGGCCCATTAAAAAGTGTGTTACATGATTGCCGCATCTCCAGACCCGAGTGCATTGACCGTATTCAGTGTGTCGTTGACCACGTGGCCATTCACCGAAACTGGCACACATTACCTATTTCATGCGATAACGAGTCGCTTATGTAATTATTCCTGGTTTTCCAGTGTTTCTACATCAATTTAATGAACACGAGCTTGTTGTTTACATTTGCGGCACCATTTTCGTGCTTACCTTTTTGTGCATAAAACCGTATAAATAGAGAAACGGGCATCTGTAGATTTTTTAGTTGTGTATTTTTATGGCTCGCTGACACACCCAGGTTACAAGATGATGTTCCAAACAATGGTCAGTTCTCCAACACCCTGAGCACTGCCAACACAACGTCTGCCTCCGCCTCGGCAAGTTCAGTAACGCCAAAGCAACACGTCTTTTCCTACAAATCTCAGAGTCTAGCTACCACTCGCGGGGCTCCGCAAGTCGGTATGTACTGTCTTTAAGTATGAAAGGTCCATTTTCACGCAGTTTTGCGCCCATGCACGTGCAAAACATGAAATTAGTTCTGGGCCCAAATATGCATAAATATTTGAGTGTTTACGCTGTAAATATTTAAGCTAACTGAACAATGTAAATGGAATAGTCAGAAATACAAAACACATGGAAAGTGCATCAAATCAAACAAACGGACGGCACCCAAGTCACTGATGCGGAAACATGCTTTCCCCGTACCAAACCAAGGCTTCTCTAAGAATTTTGGCCTAATACTTCTGCATTTAGAAAATTCTGGTTTTAAACGAATTTCGCCCAAAATTGTGCGGATGATTTTGGAGTATGTTGTGTTGCCGGTCTACCACCTGTCCAGCTCCGCGAGTAAGGTGGGACAGGCGCTCAAAAGACCCCCTTTCGTCATTTCAAATAACGTTTGGGAAATATTTTTTCACGGTATCCTAGAAAGGACCCCCTTTTTGTCATCTTCCATTTCCTCAACTGTCTGATACTTGTTGCTTCATTCATTGGATATTGTACTGCAACAAGACATAACGTGATCTTTATCCAAATACTCGCTAGTGTTGTTGACACAGGTTCCACGCAAGTAATATACAGAGGAGTTTAGACCCTGCGCCTGGTTGAAAGTCTAGCTGGCTTTCACTCCGGCCCATGCTCCTGGGGCAATACCCATCCGCGGTCGACGACCGATGGGAAATTTAACTATCCCAAATCTTCACATCGACGAAGGCGAGCAGGATCGAGGGGTGGCGATCCCTGAATGTGAATTGTACGCTCGAGTCCACGGCAACGATTTACAGCCGAGGCAAAAGGACAACAGGCGTTCTGTCTTTTCTATTCAATCCGTTCATCAACATCTTTAATGCAATGCCTAGTGCTTCATAATTTTTTCCGCATGCAGTTATTAATAACACTCAATCAGTTCTGGTTGTAACAACATCCCTCCAAACGAAACACGAAATGGGTCGGCGGCAATTTGGCAACCGCATCGTATCGGGACCGTGTCGGAGGCAGAAAGTGTGCAACTGACGGGCAGGAGCGCGCTGTGGTGGCCGGCAGCGAACCAAGTGCGAGCTGTTGGCAGGGCTAAGGCGGCAGGGGTGTGCTTTGGTTGCATTGGCACCACTGGGGGACGTTCTTGACACGCGGATGTGGGGGCGCTGGAATCCTTGCAAGGGCTATTTGGTTACCTCGTCGTGCGCCCATCAGCTTGCCGCTTTGGCCACACGGGGTGGTCTTGGGCGAGAGCTTGATGGGCGCACCGCGCAAAATTGTAACGGGATGGTGCTGCCGAAGAATTCACCGCGGAGATCTGCATACGCCTTTCAAGGGGGAATCTCTGGCAAGGATCACGGGCACAGTCGTCGTTGTGCGTCAACAACAGACCCATGGCAGCGCCAGCGTCCGCAGCCTAGGACCCATGCGTGCCAAGTGAAAAACCACGGATGGCGTGCAGCCCAATGCGATTGCGCCCCCATTGGCCACAAGAAATGGCTTCCTGCATTCGCGATGCACCACCCAGGGCCCTATGGAGCCCGGCCATCCAGACTCCGGACTAGGACTCCCATCCCGGCGCTACGGCGGAACTCACACAGTGGGATCAGTGCTGACTGAGCCTACGTCGTCGTCGTCGTCGTCGTCGTCGTCGTCGTAGTGATAGTGCGTGTGGTGGTGGTAGTGAGAGGAAGAGGAGCTGCTTCCGCCGCCCTTGCCTCCCCCACCTTTGCCTTCCGCCGTCGTCAGGGCGCAGGCGACCAGCAGGTACGCCAGCGCCAAAGGGACGCGGACGGGCGGCGCGAATCGAGGGCGTCCCTGCGCACAGAGAAGGGCGAGAATTGAAGAAACGCTCGGACTCACAAGAAAATGCTAGGGCATGCGTCTGCCGGAGAGAGTGGCGATCGGGGGGTTGAGTGAAAATGAATGGCAGGTCTGGGGCTGAACGCTGCGGTGCCAGGCGGCTGTGTGGATCTGGCACCGGGTTGTCGTGGGGGGATGCCGAGATCGACTCCACGGAAGGCAGGCAGCCCCGCGGCAGCGCAAAGCACGCCACGCGGCAAAATTCGGATCCCTGGATCGAGCCGCCTTCGAAACCGCGCCGCAGAGCCCAGCCCCGACACCAAGGAATTTCAAACCAGGGATCCGAACAACGGCGCCAGGACAAGATGTCGTCGGAAGCTTCCGGCGGCGCGGCTGCGGCCAGCCTGGTGCGCGGCACCTCGATCCTTCAAATCATCACCGCACATCCCGCACAGGATGTCGCAGGACCTATTCACCTGTGGCCGCAGCATTCTCGCAAGGCTGCAAGCTTTCGCGTCGAGGCCGGGGATTGCGCGGACGGCGGTGGAGTCGCGCCGGTGGGTGGGAGCGATCGGCGCTGGGGCGTCGTGGGCGCGCGGGCCTTCTGGAGTAATAGGGCACAGGGAGCTATGTGGCAGGTGCGCGCTTTGCAGCGTCTGCGTGTGGGGCCAGCTGCAAATGCGTCATTCAGCGCCGCCTGCCAGAGAGGACGGCCTGGCGGCACTGATGTCTGGCGGCCGCCCTTGAAGCTGCTGGCCAGCTCGCTGATGGTGCCCAGTGATGGTGCCCAGTCAGCATCGCTGCCTTCGGCATGAAACCAGTCGCTCTGTCTTTTCTGTCAAGACCCCTTCTTGTTTCGGACGCCCCAACCCTAACACACTGGCCCAAAGAGCGTCGGCCTTGTCAGCGGAAGGAGAAGGGATCCTCACGGAAAAGGCCAGCATGTTCGCGTCGCCTTTTTGCTGTACTTGTGGCCATCTGCGGGCGCCCAACTTCATTTTCTCGGTGGCATAAAATTACTCCCCGTTCTTGTTTGCTGAGATTCGGTTCTTGTTTTTGGACACCAAAGACCCCAACTACTGATCCACGCACCGGGACTGGCCTTGTCAGCGGAACAAGAACCGAATCTCAGCAAACGAGAACAAGGTGTATTATATTCTCTTTCTCGGCACTCCCTTGGATCGGCATCGTCAACGCTGATGCAGTGACGCCATGCAACCCCAGCATGGCCGGAACAAAATGCGGTCCCGAGTGGTCAACATGTCCATAACTATTACATGGGGTCTTAACAGAAAGACAGAAGGACTGATCTCATGCCGATGGTGAAGACAACGAAGGAACGAAGCTGAGGACGCCGTTTTGCTGCACCGGTTTTGCCTTGTGGGCGCCAGACCTCGCTCTGTGGGCGCTCCCTTGGATCGGTACTGACAATGCTGACGCGCTCGCACCCAAGGGATGATGTGCATATCCGCACCCTGGGAAGGTCCGACGATGTTACACCGCCTTCATCTCCGGCAGCTCAGGCCCCACAAGTGTTCTGGCCCCTGCCCCCCAGCGGGCGATCGTTTTAGGCCACAAGGCAATTCCCCTACATGTGGATATACCAGCGAACCGTTCATGTGGATGGGCCATGCGCCACGGGTCGCCATCAAGGTTTTCAGTCACGGTCATATACCATAAAATATTACACCTTCGCGCATAGCAACGTAATGCTTGGCCCTTTCTTATGCTGGGAGCAATGCAAAAAAATATAGGCAATGCCCTGGCAAAGAAAATGCTGAGCAAACTCATAAGGCTAGGTTTTTCTGAAGGTCAAGGGCTGCGCGTTGTATTGTATTTTCTGGCGCCTCCAGTGGCGGCTTTCTCAGCCCCAACGGCATGTGCAGCTGGCAAACTCAGGTGCATGTCCGGATTCTTATGCATATCATCTGTGCGCTGCTTACGTGGCGCACTTGCTCCCTTTGGTTCGTCGCCCTACAGAAGTATGAGGGCTTGCCGTCTACTTTTGTGGACCAAAAAGTGTTCAATTGAGCTTCGACCTCATGGAAGTTCAGCTTCGGGATGGTTTCGTGTTTCTTTAAACTTGCCTCAATTGGCGACAACTGGTGACTCGGACAGCGGCAAATGAGCGTCGACGAAGGTCGAGCTGAAGGGAACGCATGGCAATTCAAATCATCAAAATCCGTGGATTACATTTGTCACAAAATGA